ACTGATGGTTGTGCTCTCCTATGTCCCCTATGCTCTGGTATTCAAAACATGGCTGGCTGGGTGGATCGATGGAAGGAATAATGGATGGGTGGACAGATGGAAGGATGGATTGATGGATAGAATGACGGAATAATGGATGGATGGATAGATGTATGTATAGATGGATGGATGGATGGATGGATGGATGGAAGAATGGAAGGAAGGAAGGATAGATGGGTGGAATGAAGGATAGAGGGAAGGAAGAATGAATGGATGGATGATGAATGAAGAAAAAGGATGGAAGAGTAGAAGGAAGAGAGGATGGATGGAAGAATGGAAGGAAGGAAGAATGGATGGATGGATGGATGGATGGATCAATAACTTAAATATAGGCTAGATTCTAGGTGAGGAGAGGGCACATATGGTAAGTGCAGCAGGAAGCGATTGGGTACTTTGGTTAAATGGTGACTGGGTTGGCTCCAGAGCGAATGCTTGAGAGAAGACAGCAAAAAACAAACAAAACAAACAAAAAAACCCAACAAAACAGCAACAATGGATGTAAGACTTGGAAGGTGAAAGCTCGAAAATGCCGGTTCCCTTCTCAGACAGTAGGCACTCAGCAGTAGGTGCTACTATGGAAAGTAGTCAGCACACAGAGTTCTAAGGTTAAAATACTAGTCTCTGCTCGGTGGGGTGGTGCACACCTTTAACCCCAGCACTCAGGAGGCAGAGGCAGGCAGATTTCTGTGAATTTGAGGCCAGCCTGGTCTACAGAGCAAGTTCCAGGACAACCACAGCTACACTGTTTCAAAAAAAAAAAAAAAGCCCCAAAATTATAAGTCTTTGTTGACTCATAATAATTATGCATGTTTATGGGTACAGTGCTACAGTTTAGTACATGCATATAGTTTATAGTATCCAGTCACACTATTGATTTATCTGTTACTTTAAACATGCACCTTTTATTTCATGGTGTTGGGATCCTTCAAAATCCTCTCTACTTGTTATTTTGAAATCTACACTTAGTGGCTGTCAATCACAGTCACTATATGTACTGGCTAGTTTTATGTCAACTTGACACAAGCTGAAGTCATCTGAGAGGAAGGAACCTCAATTGAGAAAATGCCTCTATAAGATTGGGTTGTAGACAGGTCTGTAGAGCATTTTCTTTAGTGATTGGTGGGTGGGGGTCATCCCTGGGCTGGTGGTCTTGGGTTCTACAAGGAAGCAGGCTGAGAAAGCCATGGGAGGCAAGCCAGTAAGCAGCCCCCTCCATGGCCTCTGCATCAGCTCCTACCTCCAGGTTCCTGCCCTGACTGCTTTTGATAATGAACTGTTACATGGAACTGTGAGAGATAGAAACCCTTCTCCCCAAGTTGTGTTTGGTCATGGTGTCTGATCACAGCAACAGTAACCTGACTAGGACACCATACTGGGATGTTCAGTGTTCTAAGCTATGCTCAGTATCTACCTGCACCCTTTGCCCATTAGACATCTCCACCTCAACAACTCTAAGTCTTAAGAGTAGATTTCAAATTAGAAAAGACCCCGATACGTCCTTGCCTGGATTTTGCCTGTTGCAGGTGGGTGACAAGACATGCGTGACGGTGTCTTCGCTCCCTAAGGCCACACTTACACCCCTATCTTCTTCTCTCTAGACGTGTGCAACAGCACCAACCTTCCAGAAGTTGAGATCATTAGCCTGCTGGAGGAGCAGCTGCCCCATTACAAGCTAAGAGCTGACACCATCTACGGTTACGACCATGATGACTGGCTGCATACACCTCTCATTTCCCCAGATGCCAACATTGACCTCACAACCGAGCAGATTGAAGAGACGCTGAAATACTTCCGTAAGTAGCTGGCCCCTTCTATGGGCACAGCAGTGTGATGACCAGTCCTTCCTTGCTAGGGCCCCAGGTCAGGTCTGCCATGAGTCCCCGTGACGTCTGTAGAAGGGTGGCCAAGGGGGATGTGGCCTTAGGAGTGGGTTAGCCATGTTAGGAGGGGTCTTCTTGATCTGAATGAGTAGTGGGGAACTACACAGAATAACTTAAAACTATTCTCATCTCCCTTCTTTTCTGTTTTTTAAAAAATAATTGTTATAGGTATTGTGCATTATTTTATGTGT